CGAGCTCTGTCCCCGTCCCAGGAATCGCTGGCCGCCGCGGTCGCGACCAAATGATCGGAGCCAAAAGATCACAGAGCGCACTCTGTACGTCTCTGTTACTGAGATAGCCTGCCTCTGAAAGGATCTCAAGCCAGAATATGGGCTCTCGACGTGTCAAATACGACCTATGCTCCCTTCAAGCGGACCGTTGGCAAGCCTTGAGCGACTGACGCCTAGACGTGATCTCCTCGCACTCGAAGCACCTTGCAACAAAATAGCACCCACGGGCATCCCGGTCCTCTGTTGTGCAGTAGTCACATGCGGCACTGGTTGAGCTGTGGCCCGCCCAGGTTATCTGTCTTGACTGGTTGGAGAATGCCCTCCTAACAGGCTACCCCATGGATAGTCAACGCCAAGGTCAGCAAGCGTTCTGGCCGACAAAGCAAAGGTACATGCGCACACATCCCAGCCATGATCGGTGAGGGGGCCGAACCAGTGGCTACCATATCACTCACCTGCAGTTCTTGAGCTTATGTTTGCCCATGTTCGTCGCTCCGACCGATTCTTTCACCTTTCTATTCTGTGTCTTCGATCGCGAAACGACAAGAAACGACACAGTCTGGGTCTTGGTTGGTGTCACCACTGCCATAACTGGGGATCGATGTTACGGAAACCAACAGACATCCATTCACCCCACCCCTGACATCTATCTGCAGGGTCAAAGCCGCTGCAGGAGGTGTGCGGTACCATCCGTCGGCCAGCCCATTTCGCCAGCCTTCTGTCTCCTGTGCCGTCCATCCTCTTTGTCTCTTCGTTGCCGAAAACTTGCTCCTCTATTCCCTCCACTGCACCCTGTCGGCGAATCTGGTGTCACGACACTGCTGTTCGTCTTGTTTGCTATAGTTCGGCCATGCGCTTGACCTCACACTTCACCCGTTGCTGAACGGATCGGTGAAGAGCTTCTTAGCTGCGGCAAAGCAGCGCGCCTGGCCCAGCTCCCCCGCCTCTTCGTGCCAATCCTCGGAGCAACCCGCCTACGCGCCGCAGTGCTATTTTCCAACGACGAGCCAAAGAAGCGTGTCCGACCAAGACGCGGCAGAGCCACGATGAGCAATCCTCGTGATCCTTCGCGCCTGCGGCAAGGGCTCAATCCTCTCTTGACCACCTCCCTCGGTGGCTATCATCAGAGCGCTGCACCATTGTCTGCTGTTTCACTGAGCTCGACAAGCCACCTTCAATCGGCACAGCCCACACCCACCACCGGAAGTGCCATACAGCCCTACAACCCTCAGGAATGGATTGCTTCGCCAGCAGCTGGGCCCGAACGAACGCACCAGTTTCCCGAAACTCAAAGTGGTACACATCCTTTCACCTCGTTGCTGTGGGCACGAGTCCCTTGTCGCAGGTCAACCGCAGAACTGACAATTCAATTAGTATCCCCTCCGCCCCCGCCTCCGTATAGCCCGCCTTGGAACCAGCGCCCAGTGAGCAGCGTGTTCGAGTCTTCTCCAGCAGCCAACACCTCGGCCGCCAGGGTGCCTCCAAGCAATGTTCATCGCCCGTCGCCAGAACCTGTTGCAAACACGTCGTTCCCTCCTCCGCCTGGGGCCAACGGCCGAGGCGGTTCGCGAGAGAGACGATTCGGTCTCTCATCGTTGCGAAGACACAAGGAAGCACATGAACAGCCTAGCCCTCCCGATCCCATGCCGCCCATCTCATTTTCACGGCCTACACCTCCTCCCATTAATATCCCAATGGGACAGCCGGTGCCACAGCGAACGGCTTCTGGTTCCTCACAGGGACCTCCCGGTGCACGTAGGGCGGTGTCCACGAGCGCCATCGAGACTCCGACATCAGCCAGGTCTCGATCAACATCGCAGACAAGATGGGAGCCCGGCATGCCACTTCCGCCTCCGCCACCCGGCCCACCGCCAGCTTCATCCAGATCACAGAGCGTACAAAGTACCAGCAGGACGAGTGAACCGATGGTCTCGCCACCGACAAGGCGCCCTCCGCCTAGCAACGGCTCCGCGCTCGGCCCTGTTCCCCCGACACCTGCTGACTGGATCGATCAAGACGCCCAGCAAGCGACCCCCACACCTTCGCGGGGCAGGGCTGCTGGCCTGACGATTGATACCACCCAGCCTGCCTCTTCGAGTCAGGTCACCGAATTGACAAGCTCCGCCAGTCTTAGTCGTGCTGGTGCTGTGCGTCTCGACAAGACCATCGTTCAGAGGCGAGCCGAGAGCCGGACGAGACAACACGAGTCTATGGACGGCATCCTACAACCAATGCAATTGACCGATATTGTGGTCCCGAGTGCCACTACCTTGTCCCGACGACGGACCATTAACAAGTCTACCCCGAGGAGCGGAGGCAGAACCATGCAGGACACGCCCCAGACTGGGGGGAGCGACTCTCAACGAGACCTGTTGAGTCTTACACCCAAAGCTCTAGGGTCTGCACAAGGGACTGGTCGGGACATGGCAACACCCCCTTTTTCACCGCTGTCCCGGGAAAGCCCCCGCCACAGATCCTCGAGGTGTTGCGCCGAAAGCACTCCCAACGCCGCTGCTTCACAGTCGCTCGGCTTCAGCCTCTCAGATTCGAGGCGGCAGATCAGGCTCCTTGGGTCGGGCTGCGGTGACGCCCTCCGACAGCGCCCCATCTTCATCAACAACGGTGCCCAAAACTGTGGTCGTGTCTCAAACAGCCGATCAGTTCTGTCAGGGGACCATTGAAAGATTTGAGGCTTTTGCGGCCAGCGAAGCCGCTGCCACGTCCGATGGAGACCGAGTCCGGCTTTTTGCAGACTTTATCGTCAGCGAGTCAAGGATTCGTCGCGAGCGATATGCTTCGGCGATAGGGGCTATGGGGTCTGAGATATTTGATCTGACGAGGGATCTCTTCCGGCCCATGGCGGCCAGGCGAGAATCCGGGATCTATCCAGGCCAGAGCCAATTCACGCCACTGTCATCTCAGCCCTCTCGATCACACCGCGGGTCCATTGACTCTGCGTACCGAGACATCGCTGGGCAGTCGAGCTCAGCACCGACATCTGCCAATACACCAAGCTCGCCCTTGGCTGGTCCACCAAACAATGGCACATGGACGTCCAACTACATGCCTTCTCTTTCTCCTATTCTGAGCCTCAGCGTCAGTGGGAATGGGGACGGTAGCTCTCGAGGCCGGCCTCCCAGCAGATGGTGGGAATCAGACTCGGCAGGAACTGGTGGTCATTTGATGGAGAGGTCCAAACGCGAATCGAAGTACATGGGCATGCCAAAAGAAGCCCGCGAGGCTCTGCAATGGGGAGACAGTCCGGTTCAAGACGAACTGCACACGGGCATCAGTGAGCCTGATTTTTCGGCAGGCTATCCGCCCGAGAAGACGGGTTGGCATGACCAGGAGTCAGCCCTGACTCCCCAGCCCGTTGGCATTCGCAGTTCCACGCAGTCCCTCACCTCGTCGGCCTCGCCAACGACCCCAGGTCCAGCACAATTGGATATTTCTCGTCTTGTGACTCTGCCTCCTCCGTATCCTCGCCACCACCCGGCCGTGAATACAACCACCCGAACTCACGGCGACGCGCACGGCTGTGAGACAGATCAGCGATCTTTCCGAAATCGAACATGCTAGGGCGCGATACCAGCAAACGAGCCGCAAGAAGCGGGAAGAGGCCACCAAAGCTGCTTCGGAGCGACGATCGGCTCTGCGCAGTAACCTTCAACAAGAAATCAACTCGGGCAACATGTCCTTTGCAGAGGCTTCCGCGATTGAACAAGATTCGAACGAGAGCGAAAGAGAGGGAATCAAGGACCTGGAAAAGGCCGACTTTGAACATTTCCAGAGCCAAGTCGTGATCCCTCTGAACGAACTCCTCACTGGCCGCATCACCAAGGCGAACGCGCTCTTCGACGGGCTCGCCAGTCGGCTGTTTGACGACGTGGAAAGCGCAGCGGACATGCCGCAGGAGGAGGGAGACGACAAGCCGGAACTCCTGGAGAAGTTGACGCTGCTGAAATGGATTTTTGAGGCAAGCGAGGTTCTGCATCGGGCCAACTACGACTTGCTGTCGGACCGCAACGACCGGTACCGCGATGTTGTCGTCACGCCGTACCGGCTTGCGAATAACCAGGAAAAGGTACGGTCCGCCGAGGCCTTCTTCGCCGAGGATGCGGCGAAACGACAGCTGGCCTTTGCCAACGAGGTCCTCGAGAGGACGCGGACGTTTCAGAACGTCATGGAGCAGAACGTCGTGCGCGGCGTCGAGGTACAGCTGTCGGCGTTCTGGGACATTGCGCCCCCACTCAGCCGGCTGCTCGACAAGGTGCCGGGAGACCTCAGCGGAGGAGGGTTCCGGGTGCAGATTCCGGCGCAGGAGTACCAGGAGAACCCGACGTATCACCAGCACCCGTTGCAGTACCTCTTTAGCCTTGTGCTGCACGCCGAGAAGAGCACGTACCAGTTCATCGAGTCGCAGACCAACCTGCTCTGCCTGCTGCACGAGGTCAAGGAGGCGACGGCGCACGCACATGCCAAGGTGGTGCAGAACGAGGAGGGCGGCGAGCGGGCGGACGCGCTGCGCCAGGAGGAGGAGAAGAGGCTGACGGAAGACCTCAAGGAGAAGGTGCGCGTCGTCCAGGACCAGTGGCACAGCGCACTGGGCGAGGGCGTCAAGGGCGTAAAGCAGACTGTGGGCGAGTGGCTCTTGCAGACGGGCGGTTGGGACGAGACGCTTGAGGATGGCGGCGT